TCACACAGCTAATACCCAGTGAGTTGGGATTCAGACCCCAGGCATTCTGGTTCCTACGAAGATAATGCCTCTCATATTATTCCATGAAATATCTAGTTGTCACTGAAAGCAACATGTTAACTTTTATAATCACTGGAACAGCCATGGTCATTCACATATGTGAATATTTAAAACTATAATTGATGTGGTACTTAGAATACAAAATTAGAAATGTTTACCATAAGGTAATTTCCTATCTTTCCCCCTTTGACCAATATATAAATTTGTAGGTTTAGCTGATAAAATATAATTTAAAAACATTAAAAACGTGACATTTTAGTAAATAGAGAAGTCAGCAAACTTTTCTGTAAGGGGATTGTAAATATTTTATTTTATTTTAAGATTTTATTTATTTGAGAGAGAGAAGGAACAGTGGGGAAGGGCAGAGGAAGAGAGAGAGAGAGAAGGAGAGGGAGAGAGAGAGAGAGAGGGAAGCAGACTCCCTGTAAATATTTTAGGCTTCATAGGCCATAGGTCTCTGTTGCAGCAGTTCAAATCTGCTGTAGCCATAAATCAGTATGTAGAGGAGAGTGTGGCTGTGTCCACTAAAATTTTATTTACAAAAACAGCTGATGGTGGTTTTATACTAGATTGCCAGGAGTTAAAAGTATTTCTTTTTTTTCTTTTTTAGTTGCAAAAAGCACAAGATCGACATGCAGAGGCTGTAAGAGGTATTGAGATGTCGAAAGATCACGTGCAAAAGTACAATTTAAAGCACACAGAAAATAACTTGAGTATTTATAAAGCAGATAAGCAGTGTAGGATGAGAAATATATCAGTTATGATAATAAGTACATCATTGTTAAGCTGGATAAAGATTTCAGGTTTACGCTATTTTGAAATGCATAAATTTTGCATATTATCTTTAAATTTTGCATATTAACTGTAAAACACAACCAGAAAAATGGCACAATTGCCAGATCTTCTACTTTTTAAAATTTTAAGAATTTATGTAAGACCTTCAGATGTTTGTTTAGAAATTATACGGTACTTTTAAAATTTATGTGTGAGAATAATTTTAAAATATTCATTTTAGGCTTGAAGTTGAAAATGCCAAGTTAAAAGTTACAGTCAAAAAACAAGCGGACAAAATTGAACAACTTCAGAAAAACCTGTTAAGTAC